AGTGCTTATTATACCGTGGCAATGGTTTTACCACTGAGTCATAGGGGTATTTTTGTGCAAAATTTTCCAGTCACTCTAAAAAGGCCCTACACGATTCGAGGAACCGCTGAGGAAAGAGAGAAGCTACCTCTTAATAGTTTCAGGGGTTCTTGAATTTAAAAATAATCCTTTCGTGGTCACTTTCGGCAGCACATATATACTAAAATTGGAACGATGCAGAGAAGACTAGCATGCCCCCTGGGCAAGGATGACTCATGTATTTGTGAAGCAGCCTCCCTGGTGGCTGATGGTAAAGAATCTGCTTGCAATGCAGGAGACCCAGGTTCCATCCCTGAGTGGGGACTATCACCTAGAGAAGGGAATGGCAACCCAGTCCAATATTCTTGCCTGGAGAATTCCATGGATAGAGGAGCCTGGCGGGCTACACAGTTCGTGGGGTAGCAAAAAGTCGGATGTGACTGAGCAACTGACACTTTCACTTTTTAAAATCATCATCATCGCGTCCTCATCCTATTTTTTGTTTGATAACTTTGCGGAGAGCCTTGTGGATGTCTTTTGGTTCCTTTCCATGGACTACCATCTCTGTTTTTATTGTTATTATTGTTTCCAGTAAACCTGTTCTAGAAAGTATACAAACTGTACAGCCTGATGAATTTTCACAAATGAACACACATGCAACCCAACTTTAGATCAAGAAACAGGAAGGAAAAGAACACAACTTTCAAATGAGTACTTCTGCCCAGATGGGACTTTTTTTAAAACTTATTTTATTGAAATATAATTGATTTAAGAAAAAAATAAAAGCAAAATAAGAGAATATAGTTCATTTACGATGTTGGGTTAATTTCTGCTGTATAGCAAAGTGGTTCAGTTATACATACATATACCTTCTTTTTCATATTCCTTTCCATTATGGCTTATCCCAGGATATTGAACATAGTTTTCTGTGCTACACATTAGAACCTTGGTTTTTTTTAATATTTTAAAAAATGTATGTATTATTTATTTGGCTGCACTGGGTCTTAGTTGCAGCATGTGGGATCTAGTTCCCTGACCAGGAATCAAACTCAGGTCCCCTGCATTGGGAGCACAGAGACAGTCAATGGACCACCAGGGAAATCCCAGGATCTTGTTTATCCATTCTATTTATAATAAATAGTTTGCATCTGCTAATCCCAAACTCTCAGTCCCACCTTCCCTCATTCCCCTCCCCCTTGGCAACCACGGTCTGTTCTGTATGTCTGTTTCTGTTTTATAGATAAGTTCACTTGTGTTATATTTTAGATTCCACATATAAGTGATATTACATGGTATTTTCTCTTACTTCACTTAGTATAATAATCTCTAGGTCTACCTATGTTGCTGCAAATGACATTATTTCATTCTTTTTTATGACTGAGTAGTATTCTATTATATATATGGACCACATCGTTATCCATTCCAAATGGAACTTTTAATCCTACCTGGGATTCTCTTGGCCATCCTCTGTGAGTAGTACCTGTCCCCTGAAATACAAGTCACTGACCATCATTACATTTAGCAAGTGCTGCATAAGAGACTACTCAAAATGCAGTGACCTAAAACAATACCCACTCCTTTATTATTCTGATGGCTCTGGGACTGACTGGGCTCAGCTAAGCAATTCTCGGGGGCTCTTGTGCAGGTCCCATCAGGCAGTGATTGGGGCGGGGTCATCTGAGGGCTCATTAATTTCCCTGTCTAGCACCTGGATTGTCATTGTTGTTCAGTTGCTAAGTCGTGTCCAACTCTTTTTCGACCCCAGTAGCCCACCAGGCTTCTCTATTCATGGAGTTCTCCAGGCAAGAAAACTGGAGTGGGTTGCCATTCCCTCCTCCAGGGGAACTTCCTCACCCAGGGATCGAACCTGGGTCTCTTGAATTGGCAGACGGATTCTTTACCACTGAGCCACCAGCATCTAGGATGGGAAGACCCAAACAGCTGAGGCTCCCCAAGCATATATATATATCTCTTCCTGTGGTCTCTCCACTGTGACGGCTTCAGGACAGCCAGACTCACATGGTGACTTAGGCGGTGGTGTGCTGGAACTGGTTCACACAGTTCCAATGCGATCCTGGGAGCGCATTGTGGACAGCGCTTTCCAACTCCAAAGTTCAGAGACATCATGTTGGTAGCTTGCCATCAGCCATGGACAGTATATTCACACCACAGAAATCAGCAAATGCTACAATCCCTAAATCCAAAAGCTCTGAAAACCATGTCTTTCACGGATCCCCCAACCAGGGATCAAACCTGCCCACCCTGATTGGAAGGCAAAGTTTCAACCATAGGACCCCCAGGGAAGTCCAAGAGCCTGTTGTTGAACATTTAGGAGCACACCACTGGACTCAGGGCCCCCCAGGCACGCACCCCCAGACAACACAACCTCCACAACCCCTTAACGGCGTCACTTCTGTGATGCTCTGAAAAGGTGAAGCAGTCCCAAAGACCTGCCCATGTCAAAGGGATGGGTGTGAATGGAGAATGGTCAAGTCCTGGAAAAGAGCACATCAGATTGGATATGCTGTTATAGCCCTTTGGGGAAGATGTCTGCTGTGCGTCACAGGTCCCTGGAAACTGAATACCAGTATCATCCCCCAGTCACTGTGACAACCAATACGATTATCCTCCCCACCAAACACAAACAGACACACACACACACATCCAAACACCCTGGCAGCAGGCAGTGACCTGCCATTCTGACCCAGCCAGTAGCTGGCATTCAGCTGGGTTGGACATGGTGGCTACAAGGCACCTTGTGGTCCTCAAGAGAGCATCACAGATAAGCAATTTGAATACCCAGGGCTCATACAGCACATCACTTGAAAGTCCTTGCTCCCCAGTGAAGTCTGGCTGCCCTTGTGGTGTGAGGTGACCACTCTCAGTTCCAGAAATCCCCCACTCACCAGCAATCGGCACATTCCTAAGGAGAACTGACCCGGGGAACTAGGCTCTGGTGAGTTTCATGTCTATGCCGGGCAAGCTGGTAGACTCACTTGTAAATTGCAGCTAATTATTAATATAACTTATAACCACCTGGGGGCAAAATACACCCTAGTCTCTAAAGCCTGTCTCCACAACTCCAGTTCTCTGTTGTGGGGGCAAAACGGAGTCAGGCTTTGTGCAATGTCCACAGGCTGCTTGCCTGATACAGGCTTAATTCTTAACAAGACCTTCATCAATTTATTTCAAAATAGTAACAGCTGACATGAATCGAGCACTTACTGGCACTAGATGATATAACAAGCATTAGATCTTTGAAGGCTCTTAACCCAGGGCAACCTCCGAGAATCGTTTTGGTCATTAAAACACAATGATGGAATTCAGTGCAATGATGCAGCTTAAATGCTCAGCACAGTGGTTTAGGAAGGCCCCAATAAATGTCACCAGATGGAAATATCATAGCTAAATGGTTGCTCGTCATCTTTTTATGGCATGTAATAATAATAGCAACTAACATAATTTAGTGTCTAATATATTACTATCACTTTTATTTATGAAATACCGGAGGTTATTTCTTGAGTGCTTTACCAATATTAATTCATTTCATTCTCACAACAACCCTATGGAGGAAATATGGTTAACACCCTCATTTTCAGAAGAAGAAAGTGAGGCACACAAAAAGATGAAGAGATTTAAAGTAATTAGCCTCCAACTAATAAAAATAAATGGAAAAAAAAAAAAGATGAAGAGATTTGCTCTTGAGCCAAGAGGCTTAGCTGGAGTCAGGAATCAGCATTTCATCACTCAGCTCTTTTGTCAAGGTGTTTTGTTTTGTTTTAAATAAAGGTGTTTCATTTTGTTATGCCTCAGTTTCCTCATCTGTGAAGTGGGTTTCTGATGTGACAGTCCGTTCATTCAGTCACTTAATATCTCTTTATTGAACACTTACTCTGTGTCACACACTGGTGTGGACACTGGTGTGCAGTATGCAAAATCAGCAGCAATTCTGCCCTCATAGTGATTGTTACAATGTGGCTAGGGGAACAGACAATGCGGAAGACTGACTTAATTAAGTAAATTATGTCAATATATGGGCTTCCCTGGTGGCTCAGGTGGTAAAGAATCCACCTATACTTACGTGTGTGGTGTGATAAGAGTGTTAGAAAAGAATAAAGTAAGGAAAAGGGAAGAAGTAGGTGATGGACTTGAGGCCCTGAAATTGTAAATATGGTGGCTAGAGACAGTTCTGTGGGGAAGTTGAGCCAGGGTTTGAAGGAAGTGTGGAGGTGAGCAAAGAAGTACTCTGGATCTAGGTGATGAAAACAGCCTGTGCAAAGGCTCTGGGGTATGGAGGCTGGTTTGCCTGGGGCAGAGTGAGTAAGGGGAAATGAGGGCAGGGCGGTGACGAGTGCTGATCACATGGGGCTTGTGGGCCACAGTGAGCCCCTTTCCCTGACCCTGATGAGGTGGAGCCCAGCAGGGCTCTGAGCAGGCAGGGACTGGACCCAAACTCAGGTGTTCACACCTGTCCTGGCTGTTGGGGAAAGGAGCAGGGAGACAGCGATGGTCCAGGTGACAGGTGATGAGAGTGGATGAGATCCCCAAGGGAGTGAGTACTGATGGAGAAGAGAAGAGGTTCAAAGACTAATCCCTGACCCTGAGATCAGAAGGAGGAAGAAACAGCCAAGGAGACTGACTGGGAGCCACCAGGTAGCCGGAAGGGGTCCAGAGGGATGTGGTGGCTCAGAGAAGTGACGTGAAGAGTGAAGAGAGAGCGACTCCTGCGTCAGGTGCTGTTAACAGGTCAAGCAAAGTGAAGACTGAGTGAACAGTGACTATTGGTTCAGCACCAAGGGAGGTCACTGGTGGGTGACCTTGACATTTCAGGGTGGAGAAGGAGGGGCTTCCCTGGTGGCTCAGGGAATCTGCCTGCAATGCTGCAGACCCAGGTTCAATCCCTGGGTCAGGTAGATCTCCTGGAGAAGGGAATGGCTACCCACTCCAGTACTCTTGCCTGGAGAATTCCATGGACAGAGGAGCCTGGCAGGCTACAGTCCATGAGGTCGCAAAGAGTCGGACACAACTGAGCAATTATCACTCTAAGGAGGGCAAAGCCTGATTAGAGAAGGTATGGGTGAGAACATCAGTAGACCATATGGAGGCAGTGAGTGTGACAACTTTTTGGAGAAGTTTTACTATAAAGAGGACCAAAGAAATGGGGTCATAGCTGGAAAGGGAGCTGGAATCAAGAGTATTTTCATTCGTTTTCATATGAGATGACTCTGTGTGGGTTGATGAGAATGACCCAGTTCAGAGAGGGAAGCTGAAGGTGCAACAGAGAGAGAGGAGAACTATGAGACAGTGGCCTGGAATGGGCACAGTTGTGTTGGGAAAGCAGAGGGCAGGGAGGGTCTATGGGGCAGTGGGGGTCTGTGGACATTCACTTTCTATTAATTTTTTTTTTTTCCTACAAAATAAGAAGAAAGGAGGGAGTTTCATGGTGGTCCAGAGGTTAGGACTCTGTGCTTCCACCCCTTCAGGGGGAACTGGTTGGATCCCTGGTTAGGGGGAACTAACTAAGAACCTGCATGTCGCACCATGCAGCCAAAAATAAATAAGAAGAAGCAAGGAAAGAGTGAAAAGGTGGAAGGAAGTGTAATGTGTTGGAGGTTAGGGGAGAAGTTGTGAAATAGCTATCTATAGAGAGGAAGAGCTAGTGGATAAAAGAAATGTAATCTGATTGCCAGACAGCACTGCAGGCACGCTTGAGCGTCAAGTTCACAAGCTTGAAGTGGAGCCGGCCAGTGGAGTTGTGTGTTGTTCTTCAGCTGCTTTAAACCGTGTGAGTACAGGCACAGGTAAGTGGAGGGCTTGGATTTAACCAGGTCACGCGTGGGAGGAAGCCAGAGGAGGCCAGGGTGTATGCAAAGAAATGTTTGCAATGATTAACCGAGGAACTTAAGCTGGATAAAGAAGAATTGAGCATTGATGGGGTGGGGGGGCAGTGAAAAAGAGGTAGGGATAAAGGATGGGAGATCACAGTGGGTTGGCAGGACTGTGGAGGGTCTAGGGCGCTGGAGGGAGAGAGCTGGAAAGAGAGAAGGTGATGACTGGAGAGTGAGAAGCCTGAGATGGAGGCTCTGAAGGGGCCATTGTTACTGTGACAAGCGTAGGTGCAACCACAGGAAAGAGGGGCTAGGAGGACAGCTGGTCAGGGAACAAGAGAGGCCCGGATGGTAGAAGGAAGGATCATCAACCTGAATATGGAAATCACCCAGAATGTTGATAAGAGCGACCTGAGTGGCAGTGAGCCTAGAGCTAAAATCATGGAGAAGTGATAAGCAGTCATCTGGGTCACCAGATGATGCTGATAAGGTGACAAACGATCAACCCTGATGAGCTGGGGCGTGTCGGGGAGGACGGAGGGAAAATGATCTGAAAACAGCTCCAAGGAGCAAGATGTACCCCCTTGGAAGGGTCACAGGACAGCTGGGTTCTGGTTAGAGCAAGAAGGTGACAAGAATGTTCAGCGAAGAGATTGAGGAGATGGATTTTGCTGAAGGATAGGTCACGGATTCCAAAGGCCAGAGAGTTGGGACCCCTGAGGGATGGAGCGGAAATGGTTTCCCTCTTGGTGGGTTTTTCTCACAGGTCTTCAGTGAGCCTATGGTCATATGTAAGGAGCTCAGCCTGACCCAAGCGCACCGGCCAGAGCAGGAAGCCGTGGTAAGCAGCCCTCGTGGGGTTATGATCAGGCTTAGGGGTTTGTTGCTCAAGGGGGAAAGATGGGGAGGAACCAGTCGCCGTCTGGAGCCAAGTGGAAGGAACCAGATGCCGAGTTTCTTGGAGCTGGCAGCCTCCCGGTCGCCCGTGTACCTAGTGAGGTCACGGTCAAGCCGCAGAGGACTTGCGTCCTGGAAGGAGAGCTGGAGGGAGGCCAGGCTGCCCTAACCCGCCGACTCCTCTCTATCTGCAGGACTCTGGCGGCCGGAGATGGGCGCCCGGCCCTCGCGGCGGCGACGGCTGCCCGCGGAGCCGCCCATAGCCTTGGACGCGCTGCCCCCGGAGCTGCTCGTGCAGGTGCTGAGCCACGTGCCCCCGCGCGCGTTGGTGATGCGCTGCCGCCCGGTGTGCCGCGCCTGGCGCGACGTGGTGGACGGGCCCACCGTCTGGCTGCTGCAGCTGGCCCGCGACCGCAGCGCGGAGGGCCGCGCCCTTTATGCGGTGGCCCAGCGCTGCCCGCCCAACAGCGAGGATGAGGAGGAGTTCCCGCTCTGCGCCCTGGCGCGCTACTGTCTGAGGGCGCCGCTAGGCCGCAACCTCATCTTCAACTCCTGCGGAGAGCGTGGGTGCCGGGGGTGGGGCCGAGGGGCGGGGGCG